ATGTAGTTACCTGTCTGTTTTCCTACAATAAACAAGCATGCTTTCCTAACTGCTTTGCTCCCCGCAACTCATGAGTTGGAATCCTTACTCTGGGTGAGACTGTGTGAGGATTGGGGGGACTAGGTCATGGGGGGGAGGAGAGGAATTTGTCCCTTATTATTTAGAGGAAGAGGTGTCTGAAGGGTCCTGATTCTGCTCTGTTAGCACTAGCACTGCCCAGTCTCCAGAACAGGGAGAAATAAACTTCTGATAATGTGCCACCCAGTCTATGAGATTCAGTCACAACAGCCGGCATGCACTAAAACAGGGAGTGACCTCAGGCAGGGCTGGGGATGTGGCTCCGTGATACAGCACTTGCCTAGCATGTAGGAGGCTCTGTCCATCCCTAGCACGAAAAACAAAAGAAGAAGAAAGGGGCAGGGTGCTGGTGGCTCACGCCTGTCATCCCAGCTACTCAGGAGGCTGAGATCTGAGGATTGTGGTTCAAACCCAGCCCGGGCAGGAAAGTTCTCGAGACTCTTATCTCCAATGAACCACCAGAAAAACCAGAAGTGGCACTGTGGCTCAAGTGGTAGAGTGCTCACCTTGAGCTGACGAGCTCAGGGACAGTGCCCAGGCCCTAAGTTCAAGCCCCACCACCAACAATACACACACACACACACACACACACACACACACGAAAAAGGGGAAGAAAAACACAGTTCCTATTTTCCTATGTCAGGCAGGTCCCTTAGTGGAAGGTCGGAGGTGCCCAGGGCCTGGTGCAGTGTCACTCACCCACACTGGCCTCCCCCATGGTGTATGTCTTCCCGGAGCCCGTCTGGCCATAGGCAAAGACAGTGGCATTGAAGCCCTCAAAGAAGGCCTCCAGGAGGGGCTGCACGCAGGCCTGGTACACAGCCTCCTGCCCAGCGTCCTCTGCCAGCACCACGTGAAAGCCAAAGTGGCGGTCACGCCCCAGGGTGACCCGGCCATCCTCTGGCTCCACCTGCAGGCAGCTCTGGTGTCCATGGAGCAGCTCCTTGGGCAGCAGTGGGCGGACTCGAAGGGCCACCCTCACTGGAGCCTCTTCGTCCCCAGGCAGCCGCTGGGCCTCCAGCCCCATACCGAATGAAGGCTCTGCGGAGAGAAGGAAAGACCCCCTTGTCCCCAGCACCTGTACTCCAGGGGTCTAGACACACCCTGCAGGTCCCACAGCCTGGACAGACTCTGGAGGGATGGGGAAAGAGCCACACCCCACTGGGGAACTCTATTCCTCAGCAGCCGCGGCTTTCCCTTAGTCTCTTAGATCACATAATTCCATCCCCACCTTCTGCTAAAAAGCCAACAGATCCTGGCCGGGTGCCAGTGGCTCATGCCCGTCATCTTAGCTACTGAGAAGGCTGAGATTTGAGGATCCCAGTTTGAAGCTAGCCTGAGAAGGAAAGTCCATGATACTCTGGTCTCTGGTTAATCACCAAAAAGCCAGAAGTGGCACTGTGGCTCAAGGGCTAGAGGGCTAGCCCTGAGCAAAAAAGCTCAGGGGCAGTGTCCAGGCCCTAAGGTCAAGACACACACACACACACACAGCCAACAGATCCTTCTAGATGGTGCTGCAACCACCAAATCCTGCCCATTACACCTCCTAAACATCCCAGGATCACCTGAGCTGCTCATCCTACGGTCAGTGCCCTGGTCTAGGTGCTGAAGCGATTTCTGCCAGCAGTCTTTCCCTATCTGAGTCCCCCCCTCCCTGCCCCCTACGCCTCCCACTACAGCAGCCAGGGGCATCTTTCAGACATGCAAAGGTAATCAACGTCACCCCCGCCCAGGTTAACCCTCCCAACACGGGTCACTACCTTTAGGATTCAAAAAAAGGCAAGAGTTAAAATGCTGACCACGCTCCTCCCTGGCACTAAGCCTTCCTCAAATCTCTCCCCAGCAACCCGTCACCAAAGCATCTCTCCACCATCCCTGCTTAGGCCAGGCCCACCTTCAGAGGGCCAAGGAGGTGCCTCTGCTCTGTGCCAACCCCCCCGGCCCCCCCCTCTCTCTCTCACACACACACACACACACACTGCCCTGTGTGCTGCGCCCGTGGACCACAGACCGCGGCAATGAAATTGCTTCTTCCACTTTCCAGGCCGGGGGACCCCCTCTGTCCCCTCGGAGCTGCCATTACCACGCCCAGGGCCAGGCCCTGCCTGCCTCGGCCTGCCTGGGCCTTCCCCGCACCCCGACCTCGGTGAGCCCCTCGGCGGGGACCCACCGCACAGGGGTCCCCGTGCGCCCCGCCCGGCCGCGGT